AAATTTTTAAATGTTTCATTAAGCAACTTAAAAAAGGCCCCTGAGAGATTTAATTAGAGTAAGACATAATGCTGAACTAAGTTCATGAAGGTAAGCAGACTTTTGATGAAGTATATGGATCTTCTAGGTATATGATCACAGCATCAGCAAACAGTGATATTTTGACTTCTTCCTTTCCTATTTTTATCCCATTTATTTTATTCTCTTGCCTAATTGCTCTGTCTAAAATTTCTAGCACTATATTAAATAGGAGTGAACATCCTTTTCTTGTCCCAGATTTTAATAGAAATGCTTTCTAAACATTCCTCTTAAAACTGCTTTCATAGTGTCCCAGAGGTTCTGGAATGTTATTTCACTATTCTCATTTGAGTCTAAGGATTTTTAAATTTGTCCCTTAATTTCTTCTACCATATATTTATCATTCAAAAGTATATTGTCCAATCCATGGACAATATGTCATGTTGATTTCCAATTTAATTTCATTATGATCTGATAAGATGTAAGGAATTATATCTTTTTTTCTTTTGTATTTGCTAAGACTTGCTTTGTGGCCTAAAACATAGTCTATTTTGGAGAAGGTTTCATGAGCCACTGAGAAGAAAGTGTGTTCAACTGTTTTGGGATGAAATATTCTACAGATTATCTGTTGGATACATTTGATTTACTTTTCAAGTTCATAGAGTCTTTACTAAGTTTATGTCTGGATGACCTATCTAATGCTGAGAGAGGTGTGTTTAAATCACCCAGTATTATTGTACTGGAGTCAACCTGGGACTTCAATTTGAATAGTGTCTCCTTTACGTAATTGAAAGTGATTCTGATAGGATTGCCTCTACATATGACCTGACATTTTTCTCTTAAAGCTTTTAAAACTCTGCTCTTCTATATGTTAGGCATTTTAATTCTCACGTGTTATGGAGAGGTTCTTTTTTTATCTTGTCTTTTGGGTGTTCTAAATGCTTCCTGTATGTGGTTGTCCATCTACTCGTAAAGTTTGTAAAATTTTTCTGTTATTATTTCCTCAAAGAGGTTATCTGTTCCATTAGCCTGCATCTGACAGCCCTCCTCAATTGCAATGATTCTTAAATTTGGTCTCTTAATGTTGTCCCACGGTTCCTGTATATGCTGATCATAGTTACTTATTTCTTTTCTATAATGCTGTTTGAATGTTCAAGGTTGGCCATTTTGTCTTCCAGCTTTGAGATTGTGTCTGTAGCATATTCTACACTCTTAGACTATTTCAACTGCACACTTTATTTGATTTATTGTGTCTTTCACTTCTAATATTTCTGTTTGGTTCTTTTTCAATATTTCTGTTTCCTTATTGAATTGTTCATTCATATTCTGTACTAGCTTCCTGAATTCAGTTGTCTTTCTGTGTTCTCTTGAAATTCACTGGTCATTTTAATAATGATTACCTTGAATTCCTTGTCTGATATATTAATCACTTGACTATCTTTGGAGTCAGTAGCTAGTAAACAATGAACTTTATGAGGTGTTGTGTTAGCTTGTTTTTATTTTTTTCCATATTTTTTGAATTCCTGTTTTGGGTTTTATTCATCTGTTGGGAGGGATTTCTCTTTCTCTCTTATCTGTAGGCCTTTTAGCCTTCATTTGTTACAATACCCTAAAGGGTTCTAGATTGAAACTCCCTTCATAGGTGTGCTATCCATAGTATTTGTGTTAATTCTTTCTGTTTTGCTATAATA